TGGATGCTCTGAATGATTATTTTTCTACGGTGTGGTCAAAGAAATGTTGACATATGTTTTGTAATTATGTGTTTGCATGTTTGTATCTTTGTTGGAACATACTGCGACAAATATTGGCTTGGATATTTCTAATCTCAATGAAGCTCTCCATCAGAGGATTTATTAAGAGATGGAGTGTTTGGAGTGGATAAAACAGGCTGGTCTCAAATGTTTTTGCTCTGTCACAGTGATTGTTATTTCCGGCTAAGACAAACTTTACTTTGTTCTGAATGTTGTTGAGGCTGCAGACTCATGTCTCTGCGGCTCCACACTGTTAAGACCTGATAATCCCCGCTATCTCAGATAAACACACATCTGCTAAAACCTCATTCCCCTCAGACTTTATCTGCTATCATTTCAGACAATCTGATTATTTTTTATATGCTTTTGTTTTCCTGTGTATCTAAAGCTTTGATGGTCTTTAGGCTTTGAGAGTGGACATATACATTTAAACACTGTTAGCAGAAGATTAAACATGAATGATCTTACTTTTCAATTTTGGTTCCGGGAGGAAAACTTTTTAGAATAAAATCACGCTGTCAGGAATTTCAATAAATCACTACTGTTGTCAACCTCTGTTAGAATGGATGTAGCACAGACGGTTGGTTATATCTTGATGTTTATTGTCGTAATGCGGTGGTTAGGATATCCTGAAAGGATCATAAAGAACATGTGCCCACAGATTGACCTTCATTTCCTTTATTCTGACTTTTTGTAATGGACAGAATGGAGATTTTTATGATGCAAAATGGAACAGTATGATACTCCTGGTCCTCCATACTTTAACATTTAGCTCATATAATAAACAACAAGAGCTTCACATTCTCTGTATTTTCTTTAAATGAATGAATGTTGTTGTTCAGTTTGTACCCATTTAAATGCACTCCAAATCTTTACAATGTTCAACTCACTGACTGAGATTCTCATGATGATCTGGTATAATGCAAATAATTTCTTAAAAAAACACATGCAAACACAAAGAGCCAGATATAAAGCAGCTTTTGTGTTTCTGTTTTTTTATGTTTCACATCCTTTATACAACAAAAAGGCATTATTGTCTACTCTCCGCTATGTTGGTGCTCTGCTGTCTGTTTTATTGCACATTTAATTCACCTTAGTTCTTTGTATGAACATGTCTCACTATGACAAGTCCACTAAGATAAACTACACTGCACTCCATTTATCGTGAAATGTGCTTAATTAAAAGCCCCTCGTGGTTTTCTTTATTTCCGTTTGTTCATTCAATTAACCTTGAAACTTTCTCTCCATACAATACAGAGAATTGCAACTTACTGTACTGTAAATGGCTTTAATTGTATATGTCAACTTTTCTAAAAGGGAAACGAAAAAAAAAAAAGGTACCCAGGATCTCCTTTTGTCACTGGATGGTTTTGCTTTCTTCCACATTGACTTTGGCAACCTAGAAGAGGCAGTAGTCTAGTTGTCTTAAGTTCCCTTTGATAAGTAGCTATAGACAGCTTCGTAAAAATGTTTTCTCCGAAGAACAACAATCCCATGAAACCTAATTCGGCAAAAACTGCTTCTGTTATTTGTCTGGACCAACCACTATCTTCTACGTCATCTGAATCCACTTCCAGCCAATCACATAGCATGACATCATCAACGGGCGCAGTGCAACCATCATAGCCTGTCAAATACAAATGTCAAAGACTGTTGACCAAGAAAGCGATTCGAACTATGACTTTCTGTGAAGCCTTGAGGTCATCTCTATGATCTGTACTGGATCCCCATGCCATAATTTATATTATAACTTTGCTGTCAGTAGAGTGTTATAACTGTATTTTTGTACGCCGGACTATGATTTTTTGTTTTTCTTTTCTTTCCTGAATGTAGCTTCCCCATGTTCAGTAATATGTGTTTGTCATTGGTGAAGAACTGAAATAAAGGTTTGGAAGGTAAAAAAAAAATAATAATAATACTGTTAAAGACAGTCTCATAAAGAGAGTTGCCCAATGTCCATTTTTTATCATTCATCTGTCTGAGTGCTCTAACAGCTGACTGAAAACTGAATATGAACTCACCACTGTGAGATAAAGAACTACCAAGTGACTTTAGTATTTTATCAGGACATAGACATGAAGGACTGAAAAACAACCAAGGGAAAGTAACCCCGCTATGGCCTAACCAACAAACTGACCTAACAGGGACTAAACTTCAGAAAAAGAAAAGTTTCTCTGATCCTTTTTCTTGTTGAACTCACAAACCTCACTGTCGTGTTTTTCTTCAACATGCCTTCGAACTGCAGTGACAGTGAAAAGGGATCCATAAGGTTGTCTGAAACTCCTCCACCGCTTTATAAGTTCCCGAGTATCCAATCAAGATGTGTCCATCGGCAGCTAGTAAAAGTCATCAGAAGTGATTCCTGTTGCGTGTTTGAGCCCAGACCAGTTTCTATGCGGTCTGATATCTTGTTAACTGTGCCAACAGGCTGAATTAGTTTTCTGTAAAGTTTCATGGCTGACCAGATGCCCCAGCATTGATCTCTGCAGCCCCCAATCCCTCGTCCTGACTGTGATGATCAATACGAGTGGCTTAGACACCCCCGATGTGCATAGATGAGCAGGCTCATACAGTACACCCACTCCACTGCACATCTCCACACAGCCTTTAGAATCATTTGTCATCTGACTTTTTTGCTCTCTTGTTCAGTCTCTTGTTTTTTTACTGATTGTTTAACAGGAAACAAAGAGAACAGCCACCAGGGAGGCGGTGAAAAACACCCGCTCCGCTCTGCTCTCAGATTTCTACAAATGTACTCCACATTTCATCTCCTCTCTTCAAAAAGACTAAAGCCTTCCTGTGTTGCTCTGCTTTTAATGCCTCCTCTCTTTCTTTTAGTGAAAACAGCCAAAAATGCCAATCTGAATCCAGCAGTTTTTCATTTACACTGCTCAGCAGCTGCAGAAAAATGACCTCTGCTCTCCTCCGAGCACAATTGGATTTAAGCCAAAGAGCTTGACAGTCAGATCTCAGGACGTTACCAAATCCCAGCAGCTAGAAGGAAATCAGTTTGACCATGGACTGCAGTGTGGCAGCTGATTGGACGGACATTGGCTTTCAGCCGTAGGGAGAGAAGATCCCTATCAGCGGCGGTGAACCGGCCACTGGAATGAGGAAATAGCTGTGAATTCTTTGCGAGGGGCCAGACAGATTAGTGCTCAGGGAGATCTAAGAGCTGCCGTTTCCATTCAGGCTGCTAGGACGACTTGTTCTTTGGAGAAAAAGTAATGTGGTGAGCAAAGGCCAGGACTGTGGAGGCTCTAAATACCACACAGTGATGGAGAATGCTTTCCGTGTCTTTCCTACCTCCTAATCTCTCAATAAAAGCTTCTCTAATGCCATGCTGAAGCTATCCTGCTCTGTTTCATCAAGTTTCAACTCAAACAAAAGAAATTTAAGCTGTAAATGCTGTGAGTTACTCAGAAACCTTGACTGTAAGATAGAGAAGTTTTTGATTTTTATTTTATTTTTTTGAAGAAAAACTTTCACCTGTTAAAGGAACAATGAGGAATTAAGACACATCAAGCTGTATTTGGAAGAAACTGAACAGCAAGAACAGGTAAGCTACACTCAAATTAAATCCAGAATAAGCGCAACAACTCTTGTATTCATTTAGTAACTGATACACTAGTGTAGATTTATTGTACCAACATGACTTTTATTGAGCCTAATTCCTACAGGGTTCAAGGATGTCCAGAGGAAAAAATAAAAATCATGGCGAACAGCAGTAGGAAGAAGAGAAACCTTATCTGCAGGGCTTGAAAGCAAAGTGTGGAACTGCAAAATACAGGTGCAGCTTCAAAAGTGAGTGGACTACAACATGGCCATTCATAACCACAGGAACCCTCAGCACGCCTAACTGGTGCTGTTTGTGTTGTGTAGAAAATTCATGTGGCCCTCACGAGGTAACCAATGTTGTTTGACACATTGAGAGCAAAAGCCACCAGGACAAACGACAGGCTCTTCAATCACATGCAACATTAGACAGATTTTCAGTGTCTTCTCCAACTGTTGGAGTTCATGTTTTCTATGGTTGACACTCTATACAGCCTATGGGCGTACGAACATTGTGTAGATCATCCAGGGGATACGCTGTTTGATGGAGCGTCATCAAAGCGACTCTCCCGCCAAACGCTACTGCACCAATGCCATTTTCAGGAAATGTAGAAAATCCCGGAAATAATGAGAGCAGTTTGTCTTCAAGGTTGTACAATGATGGGAGGCTGAACCAAGTTGTCCGTACTATATACAGTCTATGCTACAAACCCTTTGGCAGTCTACCAGTGATGTGGTCCCTCATGTCATTTCCCTTATGCAGCTACTACTAATATCACAAAATTGTTAACTGTGCATATTGACAACCTCATTTTAGTCATTAAAGATGACAGTCAGGCGAGGTGCAGGAGACTTTGGGAGGCGCTCTCCAACCCCATCACAGAGGTGGACTTTCTCTTTTTTAAAGCCACCAAACCATCATTCACATGTTTTAACCCCCTACTGCTGGGAGAAGGTTCATCAATATTCTTACTATATGATGATGTACAATGAGAGTACAGTGGGAGCTGAGGATATGCTTCTGCATTTGCAAGCTGTGCAGTAAATTCATGGTGCCGACAGCACTGATAGGCCATGAACAACCACATGAGATTGCTTTGAAAGGAATGAACAAACCATTGTCAGGTAACTGTTTGACATGTTAATATCAATATTAATAATACTGATGATTTCATGAGTCCAAACTGCAGGGGAACCCCATGTCCTATTCCTTTTTTTTTTCTAATTCTCTAACTGGAAGCCTAGCAGAACTTAATACCCAGTGTGTCATGCTAATATTGCATACAGCATATCTGTTTTTGTATCGGTGACAGGAAGAAAGCTGAATATTGGCTTCAACACTAGGGCCAAGCTCAACAGATGATGGAAACATCACACCACAGCAGATGGAGGAATTCCACGAAGCTGCCTTGGCTTTTCTGATTAATGCTGTGGATTACGCTTTGGAGAAGCTGGCCCTACAAGAGTCACTGCTCAAGCACGCCAAGTTTGTCCATGTCCGGCAAAGGTTAAAATGTGCCAAAGAAGATGTTCTTTACTTTTTGAGAGGTAAGGATTTTTTCAGCAATTTCTGCTTATCTTTTGAAGAAATATAACAGATTTGTTTCCACTGTGGTCTCTGTTCATTCCTCAAAGCTGGTCCTGGTGTTACCCTACTTCAATGCTGATGCAAAGAGGGTGTTTTCTGCAGTGGGTCTAAACAAGACCAAAACCAGGAACAGCCTGGCTCTGGATGGAACCCTGTCATCCATAATGACAATCAAGATGGCTGGCCCCGAGCCCACCCCCAAAATATTCAAGGCCTCAAAAAAGGCCACAAGCAAGTACACAGCTCTTATGGACTGACAGCAGCCTTTTTAATGACCCTGTAAAGTCAACATTGTTCTTTTTTTTTCCTTTTTATTTAAATGTTTCTTGCAACATATCTGACTTTTTGTATACAGAAATCCAAAGTCAAAATGCACAAAAATGAACCATGCTGTGTCTTGTATCTTACTGTTGGGTCAATTGGTTTTACCTGTACACTCTGACCTAAGCTAATACAATAAGAACTACTTATGTTCTGTAAGAGGTAAAAGTTTTCGCTTTATGGTGATTATATCATTTGTATTTTTGCTGTACGGTTATGATCCTGAATGAACCAAACAAATAAAAAAAAAAAAATGCTAGGCATGTGGAAAAACTTTGGTTGGCCCCTCCAAATCTGACTCCGAGGTTTTGTGAAAGTTGACAGTCTCCACTTTGGGACAACTGAGGTACCTGCCCAGGGATCTAAGGCTGTGGGATGGCTCATACAGTGTAAGAAGTTCTGATATGTAGCTTAGAGCCAGCCTCAGAAGTGCTCTTAAACCGCTTTACCCTTTCTTGAGGGTTAGCTTTGTTGAAGTTGTGTCCTTTCAGTGAAAAATCAAATTCTATATGTCACTTATAGCTACAGTTAATATCTTGCTTCATTTCTGTTTTATTATTATTTCATTTTTATATGTTTGGCACTTTGTAACTTCTTTTTTAAAAAGTACCGAATATTTACAGTTTCTATTTTCATTCATTACTGCATAATTATTTAACATCATCCACAAATGGGGCCTCACCTTCTGAAAGAAAAGTTAACTTAAAAATCTAAATTTAGACCCAGAGGAAAGCATCCAGGAATAAACAGAAGCATCTCTTCTGCAGCGTTAAACCACTGACAGAGCAGCTGGGTTTGATGAGGTTGGAGAGACAACGGGCCGAAACATTGAGTGCAGCTTTTTTTTTTTTCACATAAAGCATCGAGCAGGAACAAAGAAAAAGACTGAAAATATGTTAGTCAATACCAAACACCACACCGTCACACACGCTGGTGCGTCCCTCCCTGCCTTCCCGTTCGGCCGCTGTGAAGCAGCAGAGGGAGGAGAGGAGTCTTGAAGAAGAGCTACGAACACAAAGGCCTGTTCTTCTCTCTGAAACACTGAAAACACACCAGAATCAAAGATTCATAAAAGCAGCACCGCTGGGCCACAAGTTATGATTATCTTTATCAATGTCATTACCACACACATCTCCACTGGAGGCTGCAAAGCTGCACATTTTAGTAATTACCTTTGAACAGCAGTTGTCTGTCTGTGGCAGAAATTGGCCATAAGTGAGCTCCAATTGATTCCACATCAGTCTGTAGAGCTGCTGTTTGACAAACAGCTCATCGGTTCTGTCTTGTTTTCAGATCCTTGCAGGCAGTGCTGCAGTGTCTGCTTTAAATAAAGCACATTTTATTCAGTTTACTCTGATAACTACATTTTTAGCATTAACATTTTGTGATGCTTGAATTTAGGAAAATGTTTTTGAAATATTTGTCTAGGGTTGCTGTAAGAGCACTCATTTAAAAAGGCGAACATCAGTGAAAACTGTCAATCTGCTATTTATGTTGTGTTTCCATCTGACAGTGTGGTTTTCTTTAGAAAACCCTGATCCTGAAGGAAAAATTTAAACTGAACGATGGTCTCTGAAAGACATGATTTTTGGCATGCAGATTAGACAGATTAGACTGCTCAGACCGCCCTCATGAACAGTCAAAATCTCTTCTTTTTTTCCCCAAACCACACAGATCTTGCTCAAAAACAAACAAACAAAAAAAAAGATAACTTGAGGTTTTATTCACTCAGTATTAGCAATGTCTATATCACAAGCATAAAAATAAGCTCTGGTTTGATTTCTAAGACAGCTGTGCAGTAAAAGACACTGCTTGAACAGCTCTTTATTTGAGCCATAGATGCTCCTCACACACACACACCAGAGACACTCCCAGTGTGAAGGAGATAAAACCATTATTGGGGGTGTTCACTCTACTCTTTACACTCTTATGCTCTTGTCCTCTTTGCTCTGTTCTGCTCACGCTCTTCTGTGTTCCTCTTCTTTGTTTTCTCTTACCTCTTAATACTTTTTTTTTTCTTAGTCTTCTAAATTTTACACCACGTGTTCATTCACATTGATTTTTTTTTTCAACATCGTCTTAGTTCCATTTTTGAAATAGTCTTGACTGGCCATCGAGTCCACTGTGGTCTCCAGAGTTATCTGCGTGATTTCAAAGTCACCTCCGAATGCCACACAGCAGGCCTAAAGTCAGCCTCTGTGCCAGCGTTTGTGGTGAGACCAAAGGAGCATCGAATAGGGTAAATGCGGCACTGGTTTTTGCTTCAGGCCCGAGTGTTGCAACGCCTGGCCCATCTCTCGGCTGACTTTGGTCGTCATCTGAGCTGAACCGCTCGAACCGCCGGTAGCCCTGGACCTTTGGAACCTGCTCCATCTTCCCCAAGGACCAGTCTCACTTAAGTATGCAAACCTCCAGAGCTCAAAACAGGGCTGCTGGTGTCTCATCTATCATGTGGTCATGACTCAGATATTCACTTATTCCAGTAATCCTAGAATTATCCAGATCCGTATCCAAATTTATCTCCACACCAAAGTTAGTGTAGATTGATATGTTGGAGCATATTTACCCACTATCATTAACTTTAGTGCTCCTAGCTTGACTTGGAATCTTTTATTATTCACCTATTATTATTCATCCTCATTATCTTATCATCATTTATTGCATGTACATTGTACCATCATTTATCTTGTAATAAACAGATCATTATAGTTCTTGTTTGTTAGTGTTCTTCCAGAAGTAAAGTCCCTGAAATGAGAATTTTGGCTTAAGATATGAGATTGATTAATTTAAAATGGACTTCATGTTTGATTTCTGAATTAAACTTTTGTTTTTCTTTAATTTTCTCACCATTAAAACAAGTGACGCCGGGCTTCCTCTACCCAAGATGCACTGCGTATGCACTGCGTATAGCATCATTACGTACATTTGGTCCTGTGTTTGGTCCAGTGAGCTTTCACACAGCATACGAACTGAACCAGCGTTCATTTGCGAGTGAACCGAGACCCACGTTTTCAGGCGGACCAGAGTTCGCTTGTTTGGTCTGCACTGGAGTTTGGATGAGCTTTCACACCTCCCCAAACGAAGCAGACTATCCGAGGAAACAAACTCTGGTCTGTTTAAAGCAGACCAAACAGCTCTGGTGTGAACGCGACTTAAAACTGCTTCAGGACTGCAATCCAAACTGTGGAGGAGGAAGTTTTTGCTGCTGCAGACAATTTTCACATTGCATGTTTTCTTACTGTAAGACAGTACAGTGAGGTCCTGGTATGGTTTAATTCAGAAGACGATTTACATATTGCTCTGTTATTTTAACCTCAGTCACTGGTGTTATAGCGGTATGATCTTAAATCCCTCAGTCTGAACTTTGTGCACCTCAAAAACGTCTAAAATCTGCTGGTCCCCTCATCCTGCAGATACAAACACAACCCCAGAGGAATAATGAAGTCCTTGGGTTCTTCCTGCATGAGTAAAAAGGACACTTCTTCCTGCCTCTGTTGGTATTTTACACTAAATCAGTCACTTTAAACTTGTGCATCTCTGGTTTGATTTCAGACCAGCACGGATAAAGAAATGTCCTCAGACATCCAGATACACCCTGATTTCCTCCAGAATCCATTAAGCAGAACAAATAAAAAGTCTGTAATGTAATCATGCTCTTAAAGAACAGTGAACTGTACTGACATCAGTGAAAAACTGCTGGAGGAAGAATCATAAAAACACACAACTCCTCACAGACAGGTTATTTCAGCATGACGGTCTCTGTGAAAATAAACAGCAGAGCCATTTCATGCACACAGTATCTCTGCAGAGTGAAACTAAAGCATACATAGGATAGAAAGACATCTAAAGAGTCCATGCTTTGCTCATTTCATGCTGTGTATTAACTGACATATTTTCCCTGATTAAGAAGTTAAACTTTTGAAACTACAGCTCTGTTAGTACACATCATCATACTGCTGTGCTTTATTAGTCAAAGTTTGACTCATATTGAGCTCTGCCTTTGAATGTCCTCCTTTGAAAGTATTAACAAAGTCTGTTTTTTTGCAGCATGCTGTTAATCTCCAGGTCTAACACCTACCTGCTGCAGCAGTTACAGACATTAAATAACATTAGCCAAAATAAAAAATTCCTCCTAATTCTCTGCTTTGTTTTTGTAACTCATAAAGAGGTATCCGTGTTAATTTTGGTCTGTTTCATAACCAGATGAAGGAGCTTGAAAGAAAACTTTTGCAGCAGCTCATTAAGGCAGCACAGCTAATAAGTCCTGGGATCAGAGCATGTATGAAAGGAAATTATTGGTATTTTAGGGCTACAGAACCATGCAGTTATCTGCTAATTACAGCTGAGAAGGAAACCGAAATTACAGATGGTACAGTAGCTCCTAATTTATTTCAGCTGCTTAAAAAACTCAGAAAATTGTTTGGAGAAAAGGGAGAAGGTCATGAGATCACTCGGGGTCGCCTAATTCAGATACTGAGGGAAAATCAAATTAAAAACGAACAGAGTGTATTAATTCATGTATGTATTCATGAATGTGCTGGCTGTGTGGGTGGCTGCAAACTCTGGGCATCTGTGATTCTGTGTTTACATCGAGCTGTTAGCAAACGTGTTCCTCAGAAGACCTTCCTTAAAAAATAATCATTAAAAAAGAAACATGACGCATTTTCAAGGTTATGAAGCAGCCTGCACAAACTGAACCAGGTTTGAAAGGAGTAAAGGCTGTGAACATTGTACTTGTTGAACCACACCATGTTGTCGCTGTCATGATAGCAGTGTTGGGGTTACTGAAGTAACGAATTACAAGAACGCACTACACTAAAAAAATCAGTAACTTAATTACTTTACTAAACATTAAGAAAGCATCTTTCTGTGTTACATCAGCTGTGTTTACCTGTGTGCAAAGTTCTGATCTGATGAAGTGGTTTGTGTGTGTGTG